CATAAAAATCTTATTTAGTTTGTGAAATAATTTTTAATTTTTATTGATTTCAAATTAACTAAATTATTTTTCTTTAATTCTTCATACTCTCTAGAATGCAACAAAATTATTTCATCCAAATAAAAGCCAAAAATATTGTCGTTACTTTTTCGAAAATTGATATATTCTTAGGTGATGATCTCCTATTTTCTATGTTAAATTAAAGAGAGAGAAATTGTGTATAAAGTTTAACTCTCAACCTACGGACTTCCTAAATAACTATGGTTATGTAACCATTTTTTGGTACCCAATTTTTCTTTATTTAAATGAAACTACACAAAACACCAACTCTACTTCGCCACATTTATCATAGCAATACATTTAATACCGTCAAATAAATTATTTAGCATTTAGACAAGTTCACAAACAAGGCTGTGAGTACATATATATGCATGTACATATTTAATTTTACCGTTTGTTTGCATTTTTGCTTTGTCATATTTAAACAATGCACAGTTCGAAAAGTTTCGTGGGTTGTTTAGTATTGATTATTTTCACGAATTTATTTTCTTTAACTAACAGACTACATATGTACATACGAGTATATATTATACATAAATACGTTACATAGTACATATGTATATAAAGTTGCGTTTGTTTGCTTGCCAACACAAATTTCTTGGAAAGGAATAACAACAAAAATAATACCAAAAAAAAATTATTGCTTCACAGTCATACGGAAATTATATTGCAGCAGTAAAAGAAATATTGCTTAACTAAAGTAAAAAAAAAAATTAATAAATAAATATTTCATTTTATGAGGAATTTTCGAAAAAAAAATATTCACTGAATATTTATAACTTAATATTGGTCTAGTAAAAAGTAATCCATTATTTTTGCAATAGCTGACTTTATTATTGTATTGGTGCGATTAGATTACGCTAGACGGCGTTCGAAAGATGATTAACTAATATAACGGGTAAAGTATTGATAACTTAACTCCGTTGCATTTAAGCGCATGTCAAAGATGAACACCAACAAAGAGGATTAGCGTATTTCCTCTTTTAAAACTTTTCCTCGATGAAGATGAAAACGGAAGTCAAATCAAGTCAATCATGCACAATTTGGGCTTCGTCGATTTCGTTTCAATAATTTTAATGTAAAAATTGTGGAAGGCCAATTGTAGAAAATGTCGATAAAATAATGGAAATCATCAAGTCCGACCGTCGTGCGAGCACATTGGATCAGCAACGCCAAGCGAAAACGGTGATAGTTGAAAAGCAGTGAGCCAACAAAAACAGTCAGAATTGACGGTCAGGAAGGTTTTGTTGGGTGTTTGGTGTTTTTTTAACAAGAAGTCATCGATTAGGAGATGCTACTTTTAATGCGGTCCTGGACTGTCACCAGTTAGAGCGTCTGAAGGAAGCATTCGCTCAGAACGCCAGACTACTACACATATCGATAGGAACACCAGAAGCTTCGAGAGCTTAGTTGAGAGATTCTTCTACATTCACCATACAGTCCGGATCTAGCTTGAAGTGATTTTAGCGAATAATTTTTCTGGAAAGGAATTGACCTCAAGAGAAGCTTGTAAAAATCGATTATCCCATTTTTTAGACAATAGGAACAAGGATTTCCATGAGAGAGTCATGGAAACATAGCTTCAAAAATGGCAAACAGTTCTCAAACAAAATGGTGCATATTTCACATAGATCGGATAATTCTCACAGTGCTAAATAAAGCTTTAATTTTTAATTCAAAAATAATGATGTAATATTATTAACTGTTATGCTCAAATATTTACGTTATTTAATTATTAAATATTATTATAAAAATTGAAAGGCGCGACTTTTTTATTTATTTTTTTTTTACATTATTTATTAAATTTCACTTTTTGTTTTATTTTATATTTATATTTTACTTTGTAATTTAATATTTTATTTAATTTTTATTATTTTCTATTTAAGTTTTTTAATTTAATTTTTTTTTTCATTTTTTATTTACTTTTTATTTTAATTTTTTAATTTAATTTTTATTATATTTTTTAATTATTTTTATTTTAAATTTTTACTAAATTTTCCAATTTAATTTTTATTATATTTATAATTTTTTTTTATTTTAATGTTTTTTTTAATTTATTTACTTTTTTATTTATTTTTTTTTTTTAATTTTTTTTAATTTATTTACTTTTTATTTTAATTTTTTAAGTTAATTTTTGTTATATTTTTAATTGTTTTTTATTTTAATTTTTTTTTAATTTATTTACTTTTTTTATTTACTTTTTATTTTAATTTTTTAAGTTAATTTTTATTATATTATTGGATTATTTTTCATTTTAATTTTTCCTATATTTTTTAATTTTATTTTTTTTTATTATATTTTTTAATTACTTTTTATTTTCATTTTTTGACTGCATACGCTTGTAATTAAATAATCTATACGAGGCCGTCATTACTATTGTAAATCAAATAACTTTCCAATATCACAAAAAAACCGCATAAACTCAGGATTGATAGTAAATTAAAGCCCACTTTCGTAGTCAATGAAATGAAGCGCAGCCAATGGAGCACACTTCGTTACACGTCGCTAAACAAAAAATAATAAAAAAGAGTAAAAGCTAAAAACAACAACAAAATTTAACGTAAAATAATACAAAACATTGTAAAAATGCGTAACCGCTTGCATTGCACGCCAGTATTTACGTACATAAAAGCACAAAGCATAAAAATCACATAACTTTAAGCCACACACGCGGCTGCGTATTATTCCCCTTTGTCATTCTTCAAAGCAAAAACTCAGCATGATTTATCTTCCGAGTCTTTTTTTCAGTCACGCTTAACGAATAAAATCATAAAAAAAAATTAAAACTGGGAAACAAAAGTGAGAACAGCAGCTCAGCTTGTTATCCTGTGCCCAGCGGCGAGGCATGGGCAAGTGCACAAATGCAAAATAAAAATTTAGGAAATAAAGCAGCAATTGAAAAAAAATTGTAATAAAAATATTAAAAATGCGATAAATCTCTAAGACAATTCTACCCGAAAGTGTCAAAAGACAAATTCGACATGTTTTAATTATTAAATTTTTTTTAATTTTTTAATAATAGTGCTTTTGTTCCATAGATGATGTCATGTTCTCAACAGATATAGTTTTAGGAACCTCAGAGAAAATCTCAAAGTCATTCGAGAATGGTATTGTTTTCAACTTCGTATTCAATAAATTTCTATAAATATCCTCAAATTTAAAAAAAAAATTAGTACTCAAGTAGTTGCCCAATAGAGGGTGTTTTTTATACCTATATTTTCAGTTAGGCAATACTTTTTTCGGAGTTTGTCTATTGGACAGTTGTTACTTGATTTATACCGAATTTTGTTTTCCCACTTTTTTTTTAACGAGCACCTAATGAGTCCATTCGCCATCGCAAAGGCTGTGCCCATCCATTTTATGGAAGATTCTACGTGATGACCTTGGTTTGCGGACTTACGAAATCCAACTCGGGCAAGAATTAAAACCAAAAGTGGGACGTATCTCGGTGAATGGGCCCAAAACGAAATACTCGCCGATCCCGATTTACACAAGCACAAATGTTCAACGTTGAAACTCACTTTTGGTTGAAAATTATTAGTTAATTTATTGGAGTTAGCCGCGGCGGTCACGTGCCCGAAATCATTTTCAAAACATAATGGCAAACCCTTATCTATATAATAATAAAATAAAAATTCGTTTTGTTTCTTCTTGAAAACTAAATATCAAAAAAAGCACCCTTCATTAAGATCCAATTAATTTACAAGGGAATGTGGACAAAATATACGCTTTATCTGTGATAGGAGGTTTCAAGCTAAAATTAAAAGAAAGTGGTTGACGCAGGAAAAAACCGGCCCCCATAGAATTTACTATATTTATGCGAACAACCAAATCTGTGTCGATGAATTAGATCTCTGACGATCCTTCAAGCTCCCGAATCATTACCGTATTTTCGAAGCGAAAGCAACCCGCAAGGAACCACATGAAACATGACACCCCCTGCGGGTTAGGGGCTCAAGAATTTACCCGCGGTAAGGCATGCCTGTCGTAAGAGGCGACTGAAATCCAATAGTTCCCGCGACAGTCGGGTTTTTATACCGGAACGACCGGATTTTTATCCGGTCAAGGACAGTCACTCCCGCAACATTTTTCAAAAAGTACTTTACAATAACAACAACAAAAACAACATGAAACATGACAAATTCCACATGCCTAATGACAATTAAAGCAACAATCTAAAATCGTATTACGACAATCTAAAATCGTATTACGACAAATTTTAGATAAGGTAACTGCAGGAAAGGAATGGCATATCTACTCAGTTCCAGAGAATTTTGGAAACGCGGTTGTTTATATGATTGCCAGATGTATCATCTGTCTGACCAGTACATGAAATACGGAAATCGCTCAAGACTCTGTATAATAGAATTTTTGAGAGGTCTAGAAAACGAAATAGGTTTAGTTGAATGTCATTCTATAAAGAAAAACATAAATCAGAAATGCAACAATTGCAGTTGGGCTATGATCTCTAAGTCTATATTTGGCTGTAGCGTTGAGAGATTGTAACCCACTTGATCTGAATGAGGCTCCAAAGCCAACGAAGAAACTCTCATCTAAGAAGCTTAGTAAAATTTTCTAAAGATAACTTTCTAGAACACTTCAATCGTCTTACGAAATTCCGAACGTATTTAATAGGAAAGATGTACTGAAAAGCCCACAAACGCACCTTTTTAGATGGGAGCTAAGGACTTAGAAAGTTCTACAAAATAATTTACCTTAAAATGAAAGCTTTTGGAGGCTATAAAATATTTTTCGCCAACTTGTGAAAATATAGGAAGCATGATATGGTTTTGGATTTGAGGCTTTCAGAACAAATTCACAAAGATTGGGTTGATTTTAGCTTAGTCTTCTAATCTATAAGTACCTAAAGACACTTCTCGAGAATTTTACTTAAGATATCTTTAAAATTATTATCATATCTACATAAGAATGGTATTTACCTCTCTTCTCCCTTATATGGCTGTCATATTGGGAGTTGCTGCGAGCGAAATTAATCGCTGCCATTGTGGATTGGAATTCTTGATATTCGTCTTGGGTACTTTGTTGTTGTAGTGTCTGATGTCCTGTCAGACTCTTACCGAAAGTACCACTGGCAGTTGTCGTTGAAGGGGTTGTCGGCGTTTGTACTGCACTTGCACTCGCACTCACACTCGCACTAGCACTTGCATTTACACTTGAACTCGGACTGGGACTGTGCTGAGTTGGAGTTTGACTCACTCGTACAGCTGTCTGGCTTTGCTCCACACGTGTGGGCACAATAACCAGATTCTTTGCAGCCACACCTTCGGTATCCGAATCGTCAGTTAACACTTCACTTTTTTGTAGATTGTCAGCGATTTTTTCTTGTCCAACCGTATCACCATGTAGACGCACATTCGCACCGGATAGAGCTAAACCAGTGGGACGCGTTAATTTTCCGGCGACAGCTTGGCGCTGTTCACGTTCTTCGCTCACACGTTGTCTACCAACACTGCTGCTACTACTACTACTACTACTATGTGTTGTCGTTGTTGTTTTTTCTGTTGTCGTTTTCTTCTTTCTGCTGACAACTCGTTGCGATTCTTCTGTAGAAGAATCGTGCGATTGGCCCGTCGTCTCTAATATGCTAGCCGTATGCGTACCCGTTGTTGTGTGTCCTGTCGCGGCTTCGCCTGTCGTCGTACTAACGGGTACTGTTGTTTGGCCTGAATGCGTTGATTTTGACATTTGCCATGGTATTGATTGTTGTTGATGTTGTTGTTGTTGATATGCTTGTTCTTGTGTTTCCACAATCATATTTTCCACAGTGTTGTTGGTATCCATTTGTTGTTCCAGCCGTTGCTCTTGGTAATACCATTGGCCCGGCACTTGCGGTTGCTGTTGCGGTTGTTGTTGATAATGTTGCAGCTGGTGCGGGTGGTGGTGGTGATGATGGTGTGTACTACCCACTGTAATGTCAATGTTACCAGGTAGCGTTCCCATCGCAACGTTATACATAGCGCCCGCAGCGGCACCACCACCGCCGTCCGGACTGCGTGCTAATTGACGTATGCGCGCCTGCACTGAGTCAGTAATATCGTAGTTTTCTTCAAGTGTACTCGACTCGTGTGTTTCGTCTTCCAACCGTATGAGTATACGGCGACCACCAGCCGTCATATCCACTGTGCGTGGTGGTGTTGCACTGGAACGACTGCTGGCAGAACGGGGCACAGAGCCTTCACGCTCGCGTTCGGTTGGTTCAAAGAAAGGACGATTTTCACGCTGTGGCGAGCAGCGCGGTGACACATAACCTTCGCCGTGTCGAAATATCTTCTCCTCATGTTTACGTCCATCGCTTGTCATCGACGAGGTGACAATGGTGCGTATGCCATCAGCGGCATGCACTTCACGTACTGTCTTCTCAGATTCCAGAAAACGTGCGGAGGCATTTTTCGGATCGCCAGGGCTGACGGGACTAATAGGATGACCGCGTCGTGTTGTTGTGCGTAGAGTAACATTGAAAGGGCTTGTTGTGGTAGACGATGACTCTTCTTCATATTGCTGCGAGCTCGTCGAAAGATCCTTTTTCACAATGCGACGCGTCGTACGAAGCGTAACATTAAATGGACTAACCGGCGGCTCACCGGCCTCTACATAACCCGCTTCATCGCCCGAACTCAACTTGGTGGTCGTACGTAGTGTAACATTAAACGGTAATGCGGTGTAATCTTCCTGCACTTCAACACGTCGTGGTGATGGTTGTGGCGTATGCCGCAACTGCACCTGTTGAAATGCCAACTTAGCCGCCTCAGCCTCAGCTAGACCACGTTGGCGTTCTCTACGCAAACGCTTTTCAATTTCCAGCACATCAATATCAAAAGGATTCTCCAAGGACTCACCCACAACGGTAATGGCCTGCGTTGAATGATCCGGCACAATATTTGTTGAAGATTGTAAAAATTCACGACGCAATTCTTCGGCACTCTCATCGGGCGAACGCTTCAGGCTACCGCCAGATGACCAAACCTTCTCATACTCGGCCACTTTTTGACGCAACCGATGCGGCGTGCTGGGCGAATCCAATTCTTCATCGGCAACATATTGCACGGAGCTCGAAGATGAGCTACTCTCATGGAATTCCGTTGATTGGTGTATAACTTTACGCGTGGTGTATGTACGCGTAATTGTTGATGTCTCCAGCTGTTCGTGTATGTCATCCTTAATTATTGTTGAATCACTCGTCTCGAGCACAGTTGGCTCGGCTGCAATGCCAGACGATGGCGACGCGTCAGCTGTTCGATTTAAGCGCCGCGTGCGAGTTGCTGGTATGGGCGGTGGCCCTCCACCGGCTGCCGCAGACTCGGTATCACCGGTTCGGCGACCCACAGCACCTGCTGGTGTTGGTGATGTGGGTGGGTCTTTATTTTTTCCTGGATCTCTGTCCATGACATCGATATGTTTCTTATTGTTGCGTTTGTCATGTACGTCCAGTTGGCAGGACAACACATTGGTGTTGTTGGTATCGCAATGTGCTCAAGCGTCGCGCAATTCACGTTTAGTTCAGTTCAGTTCGTTTCGAAGTGTCTAACTAGTGAAAACTCCACATGCAAGAAAATCGATTTTTCACACGAGCGCTCTACGTCTTCGGTACGCGATTGGCAGGCTATGAGCCTGCAGGAATTTCACGTTTCCACCACGAGTGTCTTTCGCGTGCGTGTGCCAAAACAAACGTAACAAATATAAAAAAATATGGCACCAAAAACTGCACGGAAAACAAAATAAGCAAAAAAATTCGTTCTTTTCACGTAAAACACTTTCGCGTCGTGAGTGAAATATAAGGGAAAATGTTTAACAAACTCACAATTCTCTTTATTCCTCTTTTACACTTTTTCACGTTGCGCACCGATAGCCGTACACTTGAAAGCGGTGGCACTCAGATTTTCATTCATTAATTTTACAATTTTCCCTTCTTCAATTTCTTTCGTTGATTGATTAATATTTTTTACAATTTTTCCATTTACTTTTTTTTTTTTTCTTTCAAATTCTACAGTGCAAGTGCTTTGCGTACATACCCTTTTACCGTAAGCTCATACGGTTCACTATTCTACTCGTTCAAACATTTATTTTGGTCACAAAAAAATTTAATTCACACAAATGGCGTTCGCATATATGGTAATAGATTATAGGTATGTATGTATGTAGCCTTTTCACAACTACTTCACCAGGGATAATGCAAAATATATCAAGTAGAAAAATATCTATATATATACATATACATATATACACATATGTAATATTGTGCGTTGTTTGCTTTTACGCCGTATTTATTAATTTCCAATCCGTTGCAGTAGAAAGCCGGTTCGATACTGAAACCTAGACTGACCAACTGAACCAAATGAGCTGCTGCTGCTACACACCTTTTTCGCTCGCTGCTCCAGCAGCAAACAAACGCCAGCAAAATACGAAGTCTCCAGCTTCATAGTGAGCGCAGAGCGTGGAGAAAAGCACATCGATTTTTGAATGGGCGATGAGACGCGCTTGCTGAAAGCGGCGCTCTGTGGGCAAATAAAGCAAAGCACAGCGCAGAAACTCAAAACGTAGTAGCGAATAGCGTTGAGAGCATCGGTATTTGCCGGAGCTTCTTACTACGTTTTACGTTCGGCTACAACAACCACCGATACACAGCAGCACGTCAACGGCATACCAGCGCAATCTCGTTTCAAAGTGTGTTTTGATAGTGGACGAGCGTAGAGTAAGCAGCGATGGCATAACGCTCGCGAAACTGTGCCAGCGCACGTTCACTCGGGGGTTGATAAGCCGTAGTGTGAGTTTGTATGTATCTCAGTATGAAAGCATGAATGTCCGAGTGCACGCCAACTGCGGCTCTCTTTACCTGATAGCGTGCTTTGTGGGCCATGCTTTGATGGTGGGGGGTCTGTTTTGAATGTGACATCATCTTCGTAAACAGTTTACGCGTTTTTCATGCGAAGAAAACATCAACAACGGTTTTGCGCTACACAGAAAAGAGGTGGTATGTTGTAGTATACAAATCACTTCGGCGAAGTGGTTTTAAAACACAAAGAGTAACTTATGAAACGTTAGTTTTTTTGGCAAGAAAAAACCGACAAGAATGAACACCAAAGTCCACAAAGTAGTACATTTCCATCAGGGAAACTGATCTTGAACTCGTTGACCCGATTAGAAACTTCTCCTAATACTTGCTTTTATACTTTGCCTTTTCTCAAGATAAGGCTTAGAGTAGCAACTATTTACTTCCAGGCCGACCCTTTTCAATATTTAGATGACGACTCGATCTAAAATTCAAAGCCGATAACGCGGAAATTTCGTCTGTCAACAACTCAAAATTACCGTAAGTGACACCGCATACGACAACGATAAAGAGCCGCTAAAAAATAGTCAATCGACAGCACCGGTTAAAAAGGCAAGTAAACGTTGCTAGCAACATACAAGGCTCCGCCACCGGGAACAAGACAGACGCAGAAAAATATCAAAGCGCCGACCTGAAGACCTAAAGTGTACAACTCCCAAGGCGCACCTATGCGAGACATCTATCGTCCCTGTTAGAAGCATAATATGAAGCTCTGCAAGCAATATGTGCTCGAGCGTTACCATTGACATTAGCTCTGTAGCATGGGAGCGCATGCAGCGTCAATGACCTGTTTTCTAACACTCTGCTGAGGAGAATAGTGTCACTGGTACGCATTCTTCACCCACCGCAGGCTGGGAGCTATTACTGCCCCGTGTGATCAAAGCACTTCTGGTACAATAAAGATCTATACAGACTCGTCTTTGCCATATCCCACTTGTATTGAGTCCCAAGCACAATGCTAACTGCCACTGCATGTGCCCTAGAACCGACTCATCTAACACCCATATTTTTTTGACTCAAACGCGTCGAAACAACTCCTTATGTTGGGCATCGCATTGTACGATGTTCTCGGTTCCTATTAGCCTAGACGGCTTTTAAGCGGGGCTTACTGCATGCTAAAACAGCAGCAACAAGAGAACATTTATTCAAAGCAGTTCTGAAATCTCACGTGTTCTCACTTCATTACTTGAAGATTTCTTAACCTAAAAAAGAATACAATAATTTTTTTTTTAACCAAAAAAATGAATTCAGAATGTTATCTCTTTAGGTTATCAGTGCAAAGTACTTACATATATATTTATGTGTGTATGTATGTGTGTATTTAGCTCAACAGCGCACAACACAAAAGCAATGTCAATAAAAACCACAATAAACAGTTGTTCAGTATTTCATTCAATTGTACATGCATACAAACATACATATACATACATATATGTATTGTTGTACAAGGTCAGTGTGGATATTGAATACTCCATAATGAGTATATAACTGTCAAAGTACTGAACTTACACTCTAAAACTAAAACTTATACAGGGTTATCCATTTTGCAGTTTGGAAAATAAACATGATTAAAATGCATTTAAAAAAAAACTATTTTTTATAAAATTTTATAATTATAAAGTTTGAACCTTGCCATTGTATATGAAAAAATACCGCCTCTCGAACTTTAACAAACGGCGATCCGTTTGAGGTATTTTTCGACTACTTTTTGTTCGGGGTCTCAGTCATGTTTTATCCGCATAAACACGGTTTTTCACGTTGCCCCACAAATAGAGTCTCACGGTGTTAAATCGCAAGATCTCGGTAGCCAATTGGCATCGCCAAGACGAGAGATCAGGTGGCCGGCAAATTTCTCTACCAATAAAACTATATACGCTCATGCTGTATGGCTCGTGGAACCATCTTGTTAAAACTACATATTATCCAAGACGCCGCAGTCGCTTTCAAAGAAATAAGATCTTACCACCACTAAGGTGCGCAGGTGCGCACACAGGCAGGACTTTTAGGGAGTAATCGTCTCTCTTCAATGTAATTGAGGATACCTGGCGCCCTAAATGTGACAATGTCACTTATTTGCATATCCTCCGAGTGAGAAATATGCCTCGTCGTTGAAAAGATTTTCTTCAAAAAATCGCCGTTCACTGCTTTTGTTCAAGGGCCCAGTCGACATGTGTGCGGCGTTGTGAATAGTCAGCTGGCTCCAGTTCTTGTGTAAGCTGGACTTTATATGGTTGTAGGTGATAATCCAAATAAGAAAATCCCTGCCCTTGAGAATGTTGAGAAATAGACACATTCGGGTTTTTGACTGTACTTTCCCTCACCGTAGCGATGTTTGGGGTGGAAAGAGTAAAACGATGGTACACAGGCCAAAGAGAATCTGTACTCGAATTTCTTTAAAATTCTACCAATTGCTTGGGTAGTTGGACGATTATGTGCACTATAATCTCAAAACGTAGCCGTTTGATTAGCAAAATACAGCACTCTATCTTGGAGGACACGAAATAAATAACCGTATAATATATACTATATATATATATGTATGCATATACATTTACATTTATATTGTAATACTTGCTCTAGTGTATAATACGTACAAAAATATGTTTGCCAGTCTTACAAATTCCCCACAACAGCATATAGTGAACTAATAAAGCTTCTAATAAGTCTTTATAATCACATTAAATACGTGTACGTAGTTGTTAACTACATACATATATAACTACTAGTTTGCATTTTAACTTTAACGATCTCATTCATCAGTTTTCCCATATTAGCAACAGATATGTTTAACACAGTGATGGCCCCCGAAAGACCATTAGTCAGAATATGTATCACTTTCATACTAGTTAAACACCAGTTCACTCATTTCACAATAATTTCCTAATAAGAGAACAGCTTATGTTTTCATCTTTATTTGACCATTAGAACTACATACAATATATACCCCTACTCAGCTATTCACTGCAGGGTATATACGATACTCAACGCTTTACGGAACGCCATTAAGCTTTTGCCTAGTTTTGAATGCGCGCTTTACAGCGATTACAAATATACTTACATATGCGCTTACATATAATATGTCCATACATATGCATGTACAAACATATTGATAGTGACCTTGCTGGTTGACATCATAGCATAATAGATGGCGCTAACCAATACAAAAAACGCCAATTAGGTGAAATTGAAAGGGAAAAAGAGAGCGCCTGAGCTACCCTGTAGGAAAATAAAGTATAAAGCAAGGAGATTGACAGCCAGTGCTGACGCATTCAATAGCTGTTGGTTGGTTAAGAGAGGGAGGGAAGTTGAGAATCTGACCGCAGACGTCAACACCTACGCCGTTGAGAAGGCTCATTGTGCTCCCTCGTGTATGCCAACCAAGCGTTTCACTCGTTTTTTTTAATATTTTAGTGTCTTCCAACCATGCGTAGCCACCTCCATAATGTTGAAGCTGAAGCATCGTTAAAGATCGGACGTCTCAATTGGCTGAAGTCTGTTTACCTGCAAAGTTGCTCCAGCGTTTCGTCATCTTTTTTGCATGATCTGTATTCAGCCGTATCCTAGCTATGGCAGATGATATCTCAGGTATAAGTATGCAAAGTTCTCTTTGGCTTAATACAAGTAACAGTTTGGTCTAACTATTATGTACGCTGCACCACATTCATTCGATGACCTTAAGGGTTCTACCACGCTCCACTGCATTAAGCCGCGATTAAAGGTGCTTAAGCGTCTAAGGCAGTCGATGATGACAGCACTACCAGAGCGAGCCAGCTCGTTCGCCTTTTCTTGACCTTGGGACTCAAGAGCTGGCAAATTTAATTGCGGCTTTAATGTCTACCAGAAACCTGAAAGATTTTCATAATAAAGCGGTTAGCTACTTCTTGTAACGCCCACATTATCAGCTTGAAAGACTTTGTTGTACAATTTGAGTTTGTAGCATTACTTTGGTTACTGGGTTGGTCAGAGAAGAACGCTGCTTCTATCTCCGTCTAACTTTTACAGCCATCAGTATAAATTGATGGATATCTTCATTGTTATAGATCCATTCTTCTCTACTAAGGAAGGAGTAGGTGACATATACCCCACAGAAAGTTTTTGTTTCTCGGTCGCACTTTACGTAAATCCCAAGTTCTGATATAAGTTAGAGGAAGAACTTCACTTGGTGTTTCCAATTAGCTCTGAACAGAATGGTTGAAATCGGACCAAGTTCACGTCCACCTCTCACATAACGGTTTTTAAAATTAAAAAAATCATGATAATGCTTTAACTAAATGTTCAATTGAAGTCATATTTGTTAGATGCTTTGAAATTGCATTAAATGGAAAAATATTGTATGAAGATGGAAAAAACTTCAATTGGCCATCGTATCACCAATTTCGAAGAACCATATATTCAGTTATACATTATTGAACTGAATTCGATAAAATTTTATAGCTATAAGTCCCATTGTCGTAATCGGGCAACAACTACCCTTATGTCCCAAATCTATCAAATTGTAGACCTTTCCAAAATGGCTAACATAGCTCCTCCCTTACTACAGACTCTCTCTTATTTAACT